CGTAAAGCTCTGTGCGCTCTAATGGTACAAGAGGTGGCCGCATAGGGAGCAGCTCCTCCTACGACAAACCGCGCCGCCTGAACCACATTCAGCACTAGAGTCTGTACCTTGATAGAAAACAGTTTGTGGACAGAACAAGGAAAGCTGGTTGGGCAGTAAATCAGTTGAATTAGGCGCCCAGAGACCCACTGCCTCGCGGCAGAGGCGTGGTAATGATGCTTTCTGCTTCCCTAGCTACCTTATCATTCATTTAATGCAAGAAAGTTTCACAGGATCACGAGATACTTTTTACAGGATTGTGTGATTGTTTCTCAGGATTGCGTGATTGTTTCTCGGGATTCTTTTCCCGATTTGGAATTTTTTTCCCCTGCAGGGCTCTGTAAAACGTTACCACTATAACAAGATGCTGAGGGAACTCTGCACCAGATTCACAACATGTTCTTAAGCAACCAAATAAATGACAGTTACACCTAATCCACCAATATTCAGCTACGGACACCACAACTTATTTACTTAAAAATGTATAGGCTATGTATTCAGCAAAAGATGCCCTCTAATAATAAATAAATAAAGGCTTTCATAGTTTTTAATCTCAAGTTTCGTGAGTAGCAGACCCTTGATAAATACAAAGGGAGGTGACAGGAGTGGTGGCACAAGTTCACTCTGGTCATTTGGGATGATGGGGGTGCAGGGGTGTCGAGTGCGGTTACTGGGCGCAGAGTTTTAAAAGTGGCACATATGGAGAGCACTGGGACTTGCACAGACTGAGGCTGTCGTTACAGCCTATACATTTACAGACTTAAGTCTGTTAGACCAAACAGACAACATGTTCTACAAAGAGATGCGAGAATCAAAATTGTTTATTAATGACCACATAACAAGTTGGTGGAATTTGATGCTCACATCCTCAGTGTTGGTTACATTGAGTCACGTGGCTGTTGTACTGTTCATCCATCCATTTTCTTCCGCTTATATGGGGCCAGGTCACGGGAGCAGCAGTCTAAGCAGGGACTCCCAGACTTCCGAGAGACATAGTCCCTGGGTCTTCCCCCGGGGCCTCCTCCTAGTGGGACATGCTCGGAACACCTCCCGAAGGTGTTCCGGGCATGTGACTGAGCTTCTCACCCTATCTCTACGGGAGCGCTCAAGCATTTATGTATAGAGCTGGTCCAGTGTTCTGCAACTAGGGCGAAAACCACACTGCTCCTCCTGGATCTGAGGGTCAGCTATCGGTGGGATTCTCCTCTCCAGTACCATAGCAAAGACCTTTCCAGGGAGGCTGAGGAGTGTGATTCCCCTGTAATTGGAACACACCCTCCGGTTCCCCTTCTTATACAAAGTCACCCTGGACTGCCAGTCCAGAGGCACTGTCCCCGACCGCCATACGGTGTTGCAAAGAGGTTTTTTCCCAGTTTTTGCCACAGCGACCACATGGGCTGCAGTACGCTTGGCTTGTCGTTACCCGTCAGCTGCCTCAGGAGTCCCACGAGCCAACAAGGGCCGATAGGACTCCTTCATCTTGACAGCATCCCTTACTTCCGATGTCCACCACTGGGTTTGGGGATTGCTGCCGTGACAGGCACCACAGACATTATGGCCACAGCTACAAGTGGCAGCATTGACAATAGAGGCCGAGAGCAAAGCCCACTCGGACTCCATGTCCCCAGCCTCCCCTGGAATCCGAGAGAAGCCCTCCCAGAAGTTGAAAGTCCCTCCGACAGAGGGCTCCGCCAGACGTTCTGAACACTCCTCACTATACGCTTGGGCCTGCCAGGTCTTTCCGGCTTCCTCCTCTGCCAGCGCACGCAACTCACAACCAGGTGGTGATCAGTTGACACCTCAGCCCCTCTCTTCACCTGAGTGTCCAAGACATGCAGCCGGAGGTCATATGACATGACTACAAAGTTGATCATTGACCTCCGGCCTAGGGTTTCCTGGTGCCACGTGCACTGATGGACACCTGTAGTGGGAACATATAAGATGGTCCTGAGACCAATTCATAAAGGCCTGCATGCCTGCACGGAGTCAATATTATGCTTATACAACTCGCTATCTTTTAGTAGGGGATTGTGCCAAGGACACTGTGTTTACGAAAAACAGGGCATCCTGCCCCATTGCCAGTCTCAGAAGACTGGACATGGGACAGGAATGCGCCTCCATGTATGTGTGCGCGGTGGAGACTGGCCCTCTCTGCACGCACAGGTGCATGAAGAGAATATATAGAGGCGGAGGGAAAGCACCCACTTTAGAGTCTGCTGCGGGTTACGTACGAACGCCCAGCCGGGTTTAAGCTACTCTGCCGTGGGTTGTTGGCTCTCCAGCCCAGTGTCAACGGTGAGTTTGATTTTCTTATGTGCCAGTTTGTGTGATGGTTGATGCTTAAACCCATTGATTGATTGATATGATTGTAACAATGTTGAGCGGGAAATAAACTGACATATTTATTCTAGCCTCATTGTGTGATGATTGCAATGTTGAGCGGGGAGTAAACAGACACATTTATTCTAGCCTCATTGTATGTGTAGCAATGTTAAGCGGGGAGTAACCGGACACATTTGTTCTAGCTTCATTGTAACAATTATTGAGCGGGGAATAAACAGGCACAGTTATTCTAGCTTGTTGTAACAATGTTAAGCGGGGAATAGACAGACACGTTCACTCTAGCTTCATTGTGTGCTGGCATTGATTGATGTGAAATAGTGATTGCCTGGTTGTGACTACTTCCCACGAACCTTTTAAGATATTTCACAAAACAACACCCTTGTGATCAAACATGGTGTTCGTTATGGACAAACTGGCTAGCCCAGAAGTCCAATAAAAGAATACCGCTCAAGTTCAGATGAGGGAGTTTGTTCCTCCTAATCACCCTTCTCCAGGTGTCACTGTCGTTGCCCATATGGGCACTGAAGTCCCCCAGTAGAACAATGGAGTGCAGCCCAAATCTCTCTGCACCAGCCCCATATGGAGCGACGTGGGGCCGTCCTCCCAGCTGACCCACCACCCATGGGAGGACAGCCCCACGTCGTTCCTTTGGGCTGAGCTTAGCCGGGCCCCATGGGGGAAGGCCCGACCACCAGGCGCTCGCTGGTGAGCACCTAACCCAGGCCTGGCTCCAGGGTGGAGCCTCAGTAACACTAATCCAGACGACATCGCTGACCTATGCGTATCCATCATGAGGCTTCTGAACCACTCTTGGTCTGACCCGTCCCCCAGGACCTGTTTGCCTTGGGTGACCCTACCAGGGGTATGAAGCCCCTGACAACATAGCTCCCTGGATCATTTGGGCACTCAAACCTCTCCACCACGTTAAGGTGGCAGTTCAAGTTCATCCACAAAAATAATATTGAACTTTATATAAGTTTCATGGACATATAGTTGGCACATAGTGCTACATAATCACTGCACCATTCATGAAACAGTGACAAACAAAAATGAGACAGTCTGATGGTTTCAGTGGAGCTCTGACCAGCCTGTATTGTTGAAGTAAAAATCCGGTATTATGAGACTGCAGTGAGATGCTTCCCTTCATCCTGCCATGGGATCATTGTGAGGGGGTGACACGGTTCTTCTTGCACAAAGAGTGGTGAGTGGGGGCATTTCGGTACATTCTGCAAGAGCTAGACAGAATTATTGTAAAAGATTGGTCAGATCACTTGAATATCATCTGTACTTTCAGCCACAGCCCACTATACAATATGCACTCTAAACAAATACCCACAAAAGCCATGCAGTCAGCTCTATTCAAAAGAATGAGTCTTTGCCTGCTGAGAAAGAAAGTCTGAGGACATTGAATACTTTGGAAGTTATCAATTTGCCATTTTTATGTGAATGATAGTTAATCTGTTTGTCTGTTATTGGCCAATGTTTTTGGGCTGTACGATAATAAACTGAATTGGACTGAGTCTTGTCCTGACTGAGCATTCTGTAGTTATGATCATTCATAGTCCTAGTTTTGATTAAAGTTAGTCCTGTGCACTTTGTAGAATAGAGCATACAGACCTCAGGCAGTGAGTCTTTCGGACACAGGAAGTGGCAGATCGGTTTGCGGTAAATGACTGTAACAACAACGAGTGCCACAGTCAGCGCCAAAGCCACAAAAGTGACCACTGCAGTCACCCAAGGAGCAGAGGGCACTATGGAGATACAGAGAACAGAATCAGCATGCACAATCCTCTCAAAGAATACACATTCTGTCCAATGCATTTTAAAAATTCATATTCATCTATTCAATTTGATCTGAAGGTTTAAATTTAAATGAATATTTATTTATTTATTTATTGTCTCACCTCTTGAGATGAATTAGCTTTTTTCAAGGGGGTTCTTTTCTTCCTTTAACATTATCTTAAAACCATGAGATAGCATCATTGTGCAATTCTACAAAAGCCCAATTTACAAAGTTTTGACAACTGTATTAAGAAATTTAATTTTATGACATAATCTGAACTGAAAACTCACAGATCTGAACTAGTTTAACTGCAAAGTGAAGCAGTGACTGACACTAAAACAAGCCTCTGAACATTTTTAATGTGTTACTGTAAATATGTTATATGCAATTGTTCTGTGCTGCATGTTGACTATGTTACTATTTGCCTTTGTCTGCTTTATGTGAGGGACTGGGTCTACAAAGGAGCCCTTATTGCTTCTAAACAGTGTTTTCTTGTGGTGGCACTTCCAGTCAAATGGGGATCAGGTTGAGTTTAGTAAAATGAGTTTGTTTTTTTTAATAGATGACCACATTATTAGTTTACCTCTCAGAACTGCTTTACTTGCATCCCATAAAACACTAGATGAACTATTCATAGTTATTACTGTATCTTCTGTACTATTAGGCACTCTGGATTATAAGGCGCACTGTCATAGAATAGTCTATTTTCATTTTGGCTCCAGATTAAATTGGCTTGTCTGCTCCAGTCCTCATGGAGCCCCATCCCTCTCACACTGAGTCCCACTGAGCGCTTCACTGCTGTGTGTTGCTTCGTGCCTTTCCCCTCTCTCCAATAGTGCCATGTACGTTAATCCCATGTCTTCTTAAACCATTACACAGCAATGAGAATCGTGAACAGGGAGCTAAACATAAACAGTAGGCCTGACTCAAACTAACTTCCATAGTATCCTGGCAGAGGACCGATATATGTTGTAGTGAGGATGCTACTGAATGAATGCTTGTTTTTTAGTACCAGTACCTGGCATTAAAATATCTGAATGTGCAATGTTTCTTTCACTGTGAGTGAGGGTCCAAGGGAGGGACTTAGAGGCTATATTTTTAAAACTCATATTAAGTCTAAATTTCCTTTAACAGACAGAAAGTAAATCAAAAGTGCAAAGTGTAACTCGTTGGGACTCCGGTAACTCCTCTATACTTGAGACAATATTGCATTACATAATGTTACAGTGCAAATGGCAATAGGTACCTATTACAATTTCAAAGTAACTTGCCCATTGGTCCCAGTTCAGGACAGAAAGAGGGAATCCCTTATAATTCACCCAACACATGGACACAAGGTGCTGCAAATTAGTGCATGTTTGGAGATATTATCCCTATATGCTAAAAGTAAATGCAGGCCTATGAATGCATTACTGTGAGAGTTGTGGCACTACAATATTTCATATGCTGTTTGCAACTGTTCCTTGGAAAGTTCAAGAACCTCAGCTCTAAAACCAAATTTTCTGTGAGCAGTAAAAAAGTCTAAATGCATTTTTGTTACAATGGCCTTTCTATAAAATGACAGCAGCCAATACTATAGATCAGGGGTGTCAAACTCATTTTGGTCCAGGGGTTGTATCCAACCTACTTTGATCCCAAAGGGGCCGGATCAGAAAACTCACGGCATATTTGCTCAAATATTTGAACTTATTGCTATTTTTGGGGTGGAGAAACGCAAATCTATTACAGAAATCTTTTTTAATTGATGAACTCTTTCTTTTACAAAATATTATTCTGGTTCCTCTGGTGTGAACGTGAACTTGGGTCCAAACCATAGACGGTAGGTCCAAATGAACCTTTCGAAATGCATCGTGGGAGGGGATACGCGTTTCTTCTGCCTGAAATGACATGCTGGACAACTCCTGTGCAATAACAGATTGTTCTCCAGATGCAGCCGCGATTCAGTTTTGAATTATTTTGCCAACAATGGCCAATACAGAGAATGTAATGCACGATGATCAGAGCAAGAACCAATGTGCGAACGTGTGGCTCCAGAGTGAGTCAAAATTGCAGGTGCTTACCTCTGTTCAGGACCTGCACGTACAGAGAGGTCCCAGTGTTCCCCTTGTTCATGTAGCAACCAGCATTTGTTATTTTAGGCTTTAATTAACCAAATCATTTTATGGCAATAGCCTATTCAACTAATACAACTTCCAAAATGCCCTGCTTTTAGCCTAGTGTGAGAAATGCTACAGTCAGTCCAGGCTCAGATGAGCTGGAGCGGGGAGTGGTGTTAGGAGACTCAGACTGAAAAGCGCTTTCCCCAGGAAAAAACTAATGCGCGGAGGATGTACACTCAGAAAATATAACCAACCAAACTGGATTCTTCTGGACGCTTCTGTCTGGATGCTTTGCACCACCTCAGAAGCAGCCGCGCTTCTTGAGCGCGGAGGACCGGAGCAGCACACACAGACCTGTAGTCCACAGCTCATTCTCACTTTCCCCGCACGGAACCAGTGCGCAGACGACGGAACATACCTGCTTGGACCCAAAGATCTATGTGAGCATGGATGGTTGCTACATGATCACGGGGAACAACGGGACCTCTTTGTGCAGGCAGGTCCTGAACACAGATCCATGTGTGCATGGATCTGTGGCTGCGGCATAAAAGATTATATTAGTTTTAAGGACAATCGGTTTGAGTCTGGATTAAAAGGACATTTAGTGCAGACTTGTGATGTGAGGAGGAGCCTGTGTGAGCGGTGAGTGTTGGAAATATGTCGACTTTGAAGCTAGTTTTGGTTATTTGTTTATTGGTTAGCGATTAGCTGCTGTCACTCCCGCACATAAACAGACTGTTTTCTATTGGTCTATTGTAAAGTGACTATATTGGTTGTATATTTGTTACTGGACCTGCATTGATATATAAATGAGCTGTGAGCAGAGGTGTGAAAGATGAAATTTACGCATATAATTAATTACAGAGGCACGCAGCATTTACGACTAAAGGCTAATAGCGGTAGTTTCTTTACTAGCTAGTAGTGATGGGTCGGTCAAACGAAACAGCTCTTGGAGCCGGCTCCTGTCATTCGCTTCAAAGAGCCGGTTCCTTATTGGGAGCCGTGTTTTCTCTTTCTCTCACTTTCTTCTCTTCACGTTGCGTGCAGACTCGTGGTAGTTTGACAGCGGCAGCGGCTGAAAACTTTCAGAAATCTGTCTGTGCATAGGACAGAAAAAACATTTGTTTTAGTTCAGCATAAAATAAATAAACCAGGACTAATCTTGGGCTCGAGAGACGGAGAGAGATAGAGACTAGGGATGGGCACGATTAGTCGACTAATCGATAATTGATCATTGAGAATTTCGTCGATGACGTTCATTTTAATCGACAAACCAAACGTAGTTGTTGTGCATAGCGGAAAAATTTGGCCACTGGGGTGCAATATTTGGCTACAATGCGCAGCCAAGCCTAAGTTACCTGCAAGTAAGTTAAATGGAATCATGAAGAGGTCACGGTGAAGTGTGGCTTCGGACCATTTTGACTTAAAAAAATAACCACGTTTACTGTCATTACTGTAAAGCAGTATATAGGTACAACTCATCCACAACACAAATGATGTACTTGCACTTGAACAACGCACACTCGACCCTTGTAAGTGACGGTGGTGGACCATCTCAGTCTCAACCTAGCATCGACTCAGTGTTAGCACGGACACGGAGGAGCTGCAGTGCACAGCAAGCAGAGAGTATTACCCAGCTGATTGGCAAGATGATTGAAATAGATATGCTACCCATTAGTGTTGTTGAGGGCAAAGGATTTCAAGAACTGTATGTACTATATGATTTCCACTAAAAATAGTCAATAGTAGTAGGCCTATTTACACATGTACTGTGTTGTGTTGCCTATTTAGAGACTTTTTACTGATTGATTCCACCATCTAGGTCGAGTCTGATGAGTTTGTGTCATCCGCCAGCATGATCTCATCAATGTTGGACCTGCGTCACAAGCACCTGTGCTTTGTTTCACCAACACAGACAGTGGTTGCTAATGCAAAGCTGGTTAACCTGGGAGAGGCAGTGTAGACCAGAGAGGTGGCTATCCCATAGGTTGGGAAGACGAGGCTGCGTCTGACAGCGAAAACAGTGGACTTGCGGCTCCACAGTCCCACGACATGGCTATGGCACACCTCCTTGGAGATTACTATACCACACATTGTAAAAATGGCATTGATGCAGAATTTCAGAACTTTCTGAGAGAAACTCCCCCACCTCTGGATTGTACCTGAAAGCTGTACCAAATGGTGAAGTTTCTTGAGTGGCATCACATGTGCATATTAAACATTGAATTTATATATTTGTTTGACTATTACACATTGAGTTGTTTAACCACTGAAATCTTATGTATGTTTAAAGGTACCACTATGTGAAACATGTATGCTTTTAAGGTAATCTTTTGCAGATATAGGTTGTGTTCTTTTAAGGAATTTCATTGCAGAACAGCAGCAGTGGTTCGGCCTGGTACGAATCCAAACAAACTGGTGATTTACATTTGGCTGCTGTCAACCCCCCTGAACCTAAAGGAATGCAGAGAAACTCCAAGGAAGATTCAAGGCATTACCTGTCCAACATATTATTTGCATATTCATATGAATGTCTATAAAAATCTGGGTTAAGGTATTCAGAGGCAGTCAGATTGCATGATTTAAGACCTCTGTAGCTCAGAGCTCTGTATTAGAATTGTATTGAATAGGGAATAAATTCTTTTAGATTGTAATCGATCGATTCCAGTGGTTATTTTTGAGAACACGCTTAATGGTTTTTTTGAAGATACCTAACATACCCCAACAGACTGGTGGAAAGAGAACAGAATAAGGTTCCCAAGGCTAGCTATGTTAGCGCAAAGGTACCTGTGCATCCCAGCAACATCAGTCCCATTAGAGTGGGTGTTTTCAGTGGCTGGACTGACAGTGACTAGAATGCGGTCACATC